AACAGACAGAATCAAATCAAACAACCCACCCCAATCCCATCTTGGCCGACTGACCTGTCAGTCCAGACTCCAAAACCCAGCAAAATGCAACTGACTTAAATAACTTAATGAAAATGTAAGTGAGTACACAAAGGGTAAAGAAATTTTTAAAGAGTTCAGTAATCCAGAAGGAGCTCACCTAGGTGCCTACTTTTACAAATGAAAATAAATAAAGCTCAGGATGAAAAAGGGCATGATAAGGCTAAAAATGTAGAGCTGAGTCTAGAGCCCAGGGCTCCACAAGAACAAGGCATGCCACTGCAAAGCCACCGGCCATCTTACTAACTTCATAACCAAACATGTCTCTGAAAGACCAGATTTCCAGGAGCCCACAAGGTTCTAAACCGAAATCATTCATCACCCCTAAAAGGATACTTCCTGGAAACAGAAATGGATTCAAGAAGGATTTGGGCAAATCTGTGAATGACAGAGTAGCCATAAATAGCTACTAAGAGAAGCCTATACACACCTGACCTTTAGAATTGACGTCAAGGATGATGGCGATAGCCACTAATAGTGGCGTCTCAAGGATGGCGTTGGCAACCAAAGACTAGGTCAGACAGATCTGACCTAGAACAGCGCTAGTCATGTTCTTATATGGCCTGCTGTAGAGCACCCAGGACCGTGAACCAGAAGGCAAGCAGCGTCCCTGGTTCCACCCATTTATAGCTAGCTGTGTGACCATGGGTAAGTCACTTACCTGCTCCAGATCTTGTTTGTAAACTGGGGCCAAAACCCCCCACAATTCTTTATTCAAAAACATTGGATGCTTCAGAAATCAGAACTGTTTTGATTTTAGAAAGGCTCTCTGGTGCCTTTGTGTTACAACTCCAATGGAGTCCAAAGAAACACTCTGTAATCAAACACATTAATATTTTTGTAGCAAAACATATGAATATTCAAAATAAGCGGGATAAATATAGCCTCACATCAGTTCAGATCAGCTTTTGCCACTAAAGGAGTTTGCTGCAAACTTACATAAAACCTGTGAGCTTTCAGAGCTTTTTGGACTTCATAACCACAGAACTGGGACTATGGTCCTGTATCCATTTAGGGAAGGTTGTAAGATCAGGAAAGTGGCCCCTTTAAATCCATTAAAGGGGCTTTATAAAGAAGAAAGAACTACAACTGATCATAGGCGTTATTAATATTATTGCTGCTGCTAGCATTATTCCATGGCATACCTTGTTCCAAACATAACTTGAACATCAGAGGCACCTGGCAGAAAGATTAAAGAGAACCAGGAGTTCCATGCAACCTCTAACCACCCCCAAAGTGGTCTAAACCAAGGTCAATTGCTTTGGCCCTCTACACAGTCCACCACTGAAATCAGAGCAGCTGGCCATTTGAGACCAAGGCAACGAGTCAGGCAGGACTCTGACATCTCAGCCATGTGACTCATGCAACCTGGAGACAGCCCCAAGAAGCCTCTGAGAAAGGCTGCAACATAAGCCCAGGAAGCTGGCTAAGATGACTCCCTGTTGTTCCTGAGCACCCCTTCTAAACCCAAGCAAGAGTTCCAACTCGGCGAGAGATGCACCCCACAGCTGATCCAAGGGCTCGTCTGTATAAGATCCAGAGGCTCCCATACAGGATCCAGACCCCAGTCTGACGATGCAATGCCAAATCTCTAAATATACTAAAACCAGGCTATAGGATCCTGGGGAGCGTGGGGGCTTATAAATGGGAACTATGTTCACACTTAGTCAACTATGCTGTTACCTGAAATCTTACCATTTACATATGCTACACTGAAAATAATAAAGTGCATCTGGACCAGATAAGCTGGTTCTTAGACTGCATCCAGATAAGCCCACATGCAGAACTTCTCCAGGCTTTCAGAGAAAGAAAAACAAGGGACTAAGCTTAGAGGGAGAGTCCTGTCTTGCAGAAGCCTGAATTGGCCTCCCTCTCTCAGGCACTATTCTCTGTAATGTGAGCCCACTGGGAAGATTCAGGGTAAAGAGTTTGCTCCTTCACCTGCCCAGAGAATGCTGCTGATCCATCATACCTCACTGTCTGTCTGCTTCCCGTTCCATCAGGAGGAGAATGTCCATCTGATTTATCCAAGCGGTCTCTCTGCTCTTCCCAGTCATCCGTAACTGCATTTGGCATTATTTTTACAACTTGCCAACCACAACAAGACTACGATATAGGTATACAGCTTCACTAAGCCCTATTCCAACTATCTTTCCAGCCAATGGGCGCTCTTCACCTTACTCCACTCCAGATTGGGATCAGGTCCTGGGGAAACTTACAGATAGGACTCCATAACAAACTCTCTTCCTGCCTCATTTCCTAGCACCCCGCCTTTTCTTCCCCTCTAAAGCCAGAATAGCTTCTTGGTACTTTGTCTTTACCAACACACTAGCCTACTGGCTTAAAATATAATAAACCTCAATATAATAAAGTGTAATAAACCCATCATTTTATCATGGTCATCTTTGTTATATCTGCAGCCAATTCCACAGCTTTTTGGCATCAAAAATCTCCCACTGATTTTTGCGTCTTGCTCTTTTGTTTGTGCTGATAGTGGTGAAGATTTTTCTTCCACCAGAACATTTCTCAGACTGCTGATAGGCTGGGGTGCGGGAGAGACAGAGAACAGTAGGAAAAAGAAAGATAGCACATTAATCCTCCAGCTTTGAGGATGAGAGAGAGGAAATGCCTCTCACAAAGCATATCCATACTGGAGCTAAGGGGACAGTGTTGAGAGTTAGGCCTCTGACTCTGGCTCTGACTTCCTGTAAGCACACACGGGAAGATCCCCCCACCCATTTTTTCAGACCCCCACACTTTGACACCTAAGACTTTGCCCTGAGATCTAGCTTCCATACTTGGTCAAAAGTACATTCTCCTTGTCAGTAGCTTGCAGCATGACACCAAGGTTTCCTGGACCAGTGCCTCACCATTACCAGCTCACAAGGACAAGGACATCCTTGCACCATTTCACAGGCAACACAGCCCCAGTAGAAGGCAACACTGGACACACTACACACTAGAACTCAGAGCCTGCAAAGGATGATGCACAGAAAGGAAAGAAGATGGCGTACAGAAAGGTCAGTTCCCACCTTATGGGTGATGAGGTACCAGTGACAGCTTTAGTGATGTCTTGATTTTACTTCATCAATTCAGCACCAACCCTATGGACCATATCCATTTTAAAACAAGAGTATAGAGAAGTTCAGAAACTTTAAATAACTATCACAAATTCTCACCCCTAGATGTGGCTAATTGGCCCACCCACCATCTTTGGGATAAAATATGGACAACCCTCCATTTCTCCAGAGGAATGAGGGTCCCACCAAATGGGAACTCGCAACTCCCATGATAGTGACATCCTTTGTGGCCCTCTCTGGTAAAGAAAAGCATCCAGGACCTAAAGAGAGTCAGGGAAAAAAAATTACTTTCCACCATACTCCGTATGTATCTCACATTTTAGCACATAGCTAAAATAATTCATATCCGGAGATACGATAAATCTATCCAGGCAGGTGTGAGGAGGGGGTTTTCCTCTTTAGGAAAGTTTGAACAAAACACCAAAAACAACCTGCCTATTTCTGAGAGGTACAAGCACCAAGAAGACACACCTAGGTGGCAGTTATTTTTTGCACCCACCGGAAAAAATCGGCTACTTTTAGCTCAGAGGCATTTTCCACAAGTAAGTCAAAAAGACTATCGGAGCAGGGTGGGGGGGCGTTCAATGAGCTTCCAGACGCCTTTACCCCACCCCGCCCACTCATGTCCCCTGTACCTACATGAGCAACAGAGGAACGGGGGTGAGGAAGACGGAGTACAAATGTGGAGAATCTATTCAGGCTAAGCAAAGCAGCAAGCCCGACCGAAGGTGTGACGGGAAATGTGGTCATCAATGACTGGGTTTTAGAGAACACTTATTAGGCCCAGGGCCAAGAGAGCAAAATAACAATGGCCCTACAGTTTATGATGAAGCAGGAAAAATACAAATCCACTGCCTGATTCCCTCTGTCACTGACTCTGCTTTTTATGAGCCATGGTCAACACCTCTTGTTCTGTAGATGCGATCTTGCTCTACACTGACGGCGCCAGGAGCTACAGAGTACAAGGAGGTTAAGTCTGAATCCGAACATAGCATTTCCTCTTACTATCTATACGACCCTGGAAAACAGACGCTATGTCTGAGTCTTAGCATCTGCCTACATCAAAGAACATCTCCGACTTCACAGGGCTGTTGTAACAAAAATGCAACTCTAGGCAAAGCACTTGGTACTGAACTGAGCGAGTCATCAGAGCTCAAAGAAAGGTTATCTCACAGAGAGGGAAAGGGAAGCCACAGGGAAGCCAGTGCTAGCCCGAAGTGGCATTTAATTCAACAGAAGCAGAAACGGGATAAAAGTAAGACTTGCAGACTCTACAACCAAGACTTGGGGCCATCCTTCCTCCTTGGATTGAGATCAAATCAACTGCTCCTACGTGTGTTTGAGGAAACAGGACACGAGAGGGGCAAGGAGAATCAAGGTGAAGGTCTGACATTTGGGATCTGCAGTGCTCCTGTAGCCTACACGGCAGCCAGCCTGTGCCATCCACCTAGACTGCAGTCATGGAGTTGCCTTTACAGGAACCTTAAGTTTGGGAACATGGCCGTGTCCGGACACCTTCGCCCTAGATTCCACTGACTCTTCTCCACGCCACTTTGTCAGTTACTCCAAGCAAAGAAGCATGGGTGAAACAGCAGAAAAAATAAAAGCGAGCCCCAAAGACAAGGACGGGCCTGGCCAGAACCTAGGTCCGTGGGTTCCCAGTGCTTTGAAAATACCATGTCCTCTCATCACTCTTTGAAACATGTAACCCCCAGGAAACGTGCTTCTGTTTTGAGCAGCACAAGGAAGCCAGGTCATCAGGGCTGGGGGCAGCTAGGATGTGAAAGAAGGGTGTCAGGGCTAGAAGTCCAACCACAGGTGCAGGACTGGGGCGGCACCTACCTGTGCTGCTCCACAGCCTCGTTGTCAGGAAGCTCCACCCCGCACACACTGCACTGCTCCCCAAGGGGCCGGCTCTCTGATTTCATGCCCACGGCCAGCTCACCCAGCTTGCTGAACAGCTCCCTCTGGATGAAGCCCTGGGGCAGCAGGCCCCCATAGGTGCTGAAGTCCATGGAGACGGCCAGGGCAGGCTGCACGTGCAAGCCAGAGGTCACCGAAGACGGCATGCTCAACACAGCGTCAGCCTTGTGGTTGGGCAACACAGAGTAGATGCCCAGATGTTTCTCTGCTGGAGGGACTGGGGGCTCTGGCCGGCCAGGGAGACCCTGGCCAGCCTCGGCTAGTGGTGGCAGCTGCTCAGCACTCTCCTCTCGCCCGTAGTGCAGCTCCCTAGCACTGGTGATGACGCTGCTTCGAGTGGGTGTCCCAGGCCCCTCTTTTCCCCTTTCTTCCACCTTGTCCCCCATCCCTCCTGAGATGCTGGACTCAGCGACCCCAGGGCTGTCCTGGCCAGGTACCTCATCCACCTGCATCATCTCTGTTTTCACCTCAACCACCGCAGGGTGCCGTCCACCCCCAGCCAGCGCTGCCTCCTCGGGCCCCGCAGGCGGCTGAAGAGTTCCCTGCAGGAGGGACTGTCCTATGGTCATCAAGCTGTCCACTGCAGCCTTGGTGGGACTCATGGCTGCGAGACCAAATGAGGTGGAAACTGAAGGGCTCTGGTCCACCATGGGTCCAGGGAGGCTCTGTCCAGCCACACTGGCATACCCACTCTCCTCGCTGGAATGCTTTGAGAGGAAGATGTTCTTGAGGTACCGAGCCTTGCGGTCCTCTTCTTCCTCGGCCCCGCCGTCGGCCATGGTAGCCTCTGTGTCGTTGTCATCTGAGGCCTGGATGGTCTCCAGGATCTTCAGGCACTGCTCCTCCAGGTACTCGATCTCCAGGATCTCGGCTGCATATAGCAGGTCATCCAGGTCCTCCGCCTTGGCTTGCAGTGTGGCCGTGTACGCATACTCCAGAATCTGCTGGAAGGTCTTTGGCGAGAGGAAGTCCAAGGTATAGTGCTGGCTGTTACGGTGAAAGAGGATCTCAAACATCTTGCTGGTGCAGGCCAGCACTGTCCGGTGGGCGTGAAATTCCTGGCTGTCTACCATGATGACCACATCACACAGAGTCCCAGCCAGTCGCATCTGGTTGGCCTTGCACAGCAGCCCTGTAGGGTGGCTGGGGTTTTGCAGCTGGATCATGCCCATCTTTGTCAGATCCATGGTGCTCCCGTCGGCTCAGGCATGGGGATCTCTTTCTTTCCGGGCTCTGCGTGGTAGGGCAGGGTGGGCTTCCTGGGCCAATGGAGGGGGCTGGAGGAAAGAAAATGACAAGAATCACAAAAGATGCGAAGACAAACAACAGATTTATCAGCATTTCTAAAAGTAAGAATTCAAACACTGTAACATGTTCCTACCCCACCAAGCTCCCAGGAAAAAGGTCTTAAAAACTGTAACAGAAGGGATTCCTAGAAATCTGAAAATCTGCCTTTAAGAACCCAGGGATGATAAGAGTAAGAGAAGGTCCTGCTAGCAACATACGCTTAACTTGCTGCTCCCGGCGTCTGTTGGAAAAAGTGAAATGAAAATTAATGAGTCCTAACCATTCTTTAAATGTGAGAATGTGGAGTTTCTTTGCAAGGCCAAAATTCATTATGAAGAGATGCCCAAGCACTTACTTCCTACACTCAACCTAAACCTTCAACTTCACTCTGAATGCATGCACAGCAAACCTCAGCTTCAAGACACAGTATTTCTAACCCTGTTTCACTGTCTGCAGCCCCGGGAGCCAAGTCAAATTCAGCTGGTACTAGCAGCCTGCACTCGGGGCCACAGAAACTTCTTGGCAACTTTGGAAGCGCCTTCCAGGGCCTCTGTTCTTCCACTCTAACCAGTTACAAAGCAGTGATAGATCCAAGAAACCAGAACACATACATATACACATAACCCATGTACCAAGTTTAAGTTATGTACATGTAATGCAAACTCTCCTACCCACAGGTGCCTTGAAGTTATTGTACACGCAATGCAAAATCTGGACTGTGTGCATCCTCCAGCCAGACAGGGTGCGTTAACACACCTGTATTTATACTTATAGGAGATGCTGCACTTACCCCTCCTGCCCACAAGAGCCCAGTGGACAGAAGGACCTAAAATGGAAAGGAAGCTAGTGGTGATGGCAGGGACAGAGATCACAGGAAATGTGTCCTGCCACAGCCAGGAATGCTTATGCAGGGCGGGGTGTGAACTTCAGCGTGTCCCACAGGCTCGCAGGAGTTGCCAAGTCCTATGACCAGAAGCAACAATCGACGCTGGACATGGCTCCGTGGCCCTGGAAGTAATACTGGCTCCAACATCCACGGTGTGAATTAGAACCAGTATGAGGAAGACAGAGCTGAGAGACAAAGACCTCTCCTAGGGTCTGCTCTGAATCAGTAAGGGGGCTCTGGGACTCTGCACCTCCTTCGGAGCTGACAGAAAGACCGCATGGACCCAGGTCCCTCCCAGCCTGCTTCTTGCTGTGGCCACTACCATGGTCAACGGCCTGGGTGGGTGAAGCAAGGGCTCTTCCTCACGCTTCACACCATGTGCCTCCACCTCGAAAGAAGCCCTCTTGGCTCCGGAGGCGCAAAGCTCACGCAGAAGGGGTTAACAGAATGGCTGGTGCAGACACTTCTGCTGCCCGCCCTGGAGACCAACGCCGTCAAGGGTAGGCTGACCGTTCCTCCTGCTCCTCAACACCGCGAGCTTTCCTGAACGTGCCAGTTTCAGGGAACTAGGAGAGCAAAGCCAGAAGACTGGAAAGGTCGGCTGCCCAAATTCCAGGGGCAAAACAGGCTTCTGGGTCCTGAGTGGAATGAGGGTGTCCTAGCAGCCGTCCCCGCCACGCGCCGCCGACGCCAGAGATCTGGCTGGCGCTGGTTGCAGCGTTCTGCCCCGCAGCGCTGGGGAAGCCGGCGCTAACCCGCCAGGGCTCCAGGGATCGATCGCGCGCTTCAACACCCCTAGTTCCCAGAGACCCCCACCGAAACTTGAAGACGACTTCGGCAAACTTGGGGAAGCAACTTTTCCCAGAGAGCCAAATGCCTGAAAGAGCGCCAAGCTAGGAAAGAGGAAAAGCGAAAGAGACCCGGCAAAGGGCCAGAGTCGCAGGCTGGACGCCGCTGCGAGGGAGGCGAGGCGGCGGACCCGACCCTCGGAGAAGGAAAAGCACAAAAGCCTTGCAATGAGTTGCAGTGGGAAACGCTAGAAGTCTGTGGGCCCTCCCTCACCGACCCAGGGCCGTGACCCTCGGGAAGCGACCGGCAGGGTCCCTGGTCTCCGGCCCGCGGCACCAGTTGCCTGCGCGCGAGTCCCATGCACGTTGCGAGCGTCCCAGGGAGGCTGCGAGCGAGCGAGTCGGCGCGGAGCGCGACTGTATTTCAGCGGGTCCGCGGGCAAACGCGACCGTGCGCACTGCAAGCGCGTGCGGGAGTGTGCCAGGCGCCGCGCGAGCGGGCCACCGGCGCGCCAGGGTAGGAAAGGCATCCCGAACGCATCAGGTGCAGAACCCGGGCACCCACCGCGCGCGGCCAGGAGCGCACGGCGAGCTCCGGCGCCACGCCGGCCCCACCGAGAACCGAGGAGGGCCCGGGGCGCTGGAGACTTCCCGGAGCTTTCCTACCACCTCCAAAAGGAGAATCGAGTCCAATCAAGAAAAAGAACCCTCCACGTTTCTTCAAAGAGAAACAAAACCCAAGCGAGTTCCAGTTCTGCTCCCCTCCGCCCCCAGAGCTACTCGGCAGTCCCTCGCATGCTAGCTGCCCAGCTGGCCGGAGAATAAACACACAAATAATAAACCACAAGCCTATCTCACGCGCGCGCACCGGTCCGCATACATATGAGCACCCACCGGTTCTCGGCTCCTCCGCCGGCCTTTGGCTGTACAAAGCCTCCCCACCCGACCCTTGGCTCGCGCCCTCGGCCCGGCAGACCGCGCTGCCCCCACCTCTCACCCGGACTGTGCCCTGGAGAGGAAGGGCTGGGAGGCAGCGGAGCCCAAGCTGTCAGCCGGGCTCGCTTCTAGCTGACCCCAGGCGGGCGGCGGAGGCGGCGGCGGTCACAACAGCAGGAAGGAAACACGCACAAGCCCCTCGGCCGAGTGGCCGCAGCGAGCACGCCCCCCAGACCTCTCCAGCCCCTGGGCCCCCGGCGCGAGGCGCTCGCTGGTCGGCGCGCCCCTCCCCGGCCCCTACTCACCGCCGCCGAGCTGGGCGCTGCAGGGTGGGTGTGCGTGCCTGCTGGGGGGTGTGCCCGAGTCGGGGAGGGGTGTTGCTGGGGAACTGTTGCTCTCGGTATCAAGGCGGCAGCGGCGGCATCGCCCGGCAGTTCACAGAACCCGCTCTCATCGCCCTCAACTCCTCTCTGCTGCGAGGTTAGCAAATCACCACCGGCGGCGGCGCCTCCGCCGCGTCCCACGTCAACGCCGAGCCCCCTCCCCTGCGAGGCCCCGGCGCCTCTCCATCTTTAGTGCTGGCGGCCGAGCCGGCTCCCTGCCCACAGCTGCCCCCCTTTCCTCCCCGCCTCCTCCCCCCTCCCGCGCTGGCCCCGGGCTCAGCCCGCCCCCGCCCCCACCCCCCGCACTGACCGAGCCCGTGCGCGCTCCTCGCCCCACCCGCCGGCCCCTCCCCTCGGCGCTCGGCGCTCCGGGCTTCGCCTGACATCTAGCTGCTGCTGGCTCCTGCGGCCGCCGCGCACCGGCTACGTAGGGAGCACAGAAGGGGCTGGAGGAAAGGCGTGCAGGGGACTCGGAGGCTTCGATAGGGGCACGCGGGGCGAGGAGCTGCTCCCGCCTTGCCTCAAGTTTTTAATGTCCTCGGCTTTTGTTATTCCCCCTCCGGTGCTCAAGCGCGGAGTTTTGCTCTTGGTCTCAATGTTTGCCCAATTCAGTGAGTGTCACCTCGCCTTTCGCTTTTCCAAGGGACTCGGGTCTGCATGCCTAGTACCCTCGACATTGGCTTTAAAAGGTCACTTTCCTAGCCCGACAAGCCCAGGCCTCTTAGGCTTTGCAGCCACTGCCTGCTTTCGGGCATAAGCAGCCTGATGTAGAGAAGTCTCGAGGCGCAGCGCTGGCGGACTTCAGTGAACCAGACGCCCGAGAGTCCGCGGAGACCCTAGTCGAGCGCAGACACGCTGTTTTAGCTGTCGCGATAGCTAGAGAACGAGGTTAAGCCTTGAGAGAAACTTTCCTCCCTCTCGGTTTGGGGCGTCCCTTCCGCTCGGCCCCACCCCCACCCCCGCAGCAACGCGGGTGGGAGTCGCGGAGCAGCCGCGCCCTGCTTAGCGCAATCCTCGGGGGTCGCGTGGCAGAGTGGAAAAGCCCTGGGCTGCTCAGAACTGCGTCTTCCTCTCAGCCGGCCACCCTGTCTAGAGGGTGGGGATGAGATCGCTAAGCCCAGAGTAGATCCACCGAAGAAAATGTGCCCTTCCCCTGCTGCGGAAATCTCCCTTCTCCCCTTTCCCTGGAGCTGGGCACAGGTAGAGGACCAGAGGTAGAAAGCACTGCCGGTAGTCTGAGCCTTGGCCGTGCCCTCCGACTAAAGTCTGGGAGCCGCGACTGGGTGGGGATGTGGCGGACAGCGCCATCCAGGGGTCTCAGAACAGCTGTCCCCGAGGTCAAGCTGTTTAAGCAATTCGGGGCTTCGCTCCGGAGTCCTGAGAACACTGGCCCGTGAGCCAGAGGTTTTCCGCAGGACTCACACAGAAGCACATCTCGAGGCGCGCCTGCCTCTTGCACATCTCGAGGCGCGCCAGGCTGAAAGTTAAGCCTCCAGAGCTACAGGGGGCAGAGGCCCAGCAGAGGCAAAATCCCGAAGGCCAGGTGGCAGAGTTTACACACAGGAACTGATCCAGGCTCACAAGAGCTGCTGATGGGGTAGACCCAAGGACAGGCCATTCCATCCCAGCCAGGGACGCGCCAGTCTCCCTCCTGCAGGCAAAGGGCTCAGACCAGCAGGAGTCAGCCCAGAGAAGCCAGGCAGGGGATGAAGATCTTCTGATAGCAGTGTGTAAGATTCAAACCACGGGGCAGGGGGAGTCTAGTTTCCCCGGTACACGTTTGGTGACTAATAAAGAGCAGTCTCTATTTACTCCTACTTTTTCTAGCCCAGGCCTGTATACAAACAGAAAAAGAGGATGTAAAGAAAGAGAAGGAAGAGCTGGTCTTTAAGGACAGCAAGAGTGGAAGACTGGCCATGCCTCACCGCTGAAACAGGAAAGAAACAGGAAAGGATCATTAAACTTGTTGAGCTTCTCCTTGCTGGAGGCTGCCGCGTAGCTGTCCACACCCATGTACCAGTCTCTCCTCAGCGTAGTAGTAAGAGAAGCACACAATTAGCCCCTGATCCTAATCTCCTATTAATCCTCAAACCGGAGAAAGAGAGAATCTCTGGAAACAATAGTAGAGAGAGAACAATCCCTCCATTGCCCTGGCCTCCCCCGCCATGCCATATTCACTCTATGTGAAAATCTCCCTTGCTTCATAAACTCTGCCCATTAAAAAGCCCAGTCCTTGTTAGTAAGTGTTAAAGAGAGATTAATGCCTGAGTTTAAGAGGTGGAGAAGGTAACAAAAAGGGAGAAGGCAGACAAGCTGTGGGCTGAGTGCCAGCGTTGGGCTCTGAGCATTTCCACTTAGCGCTGAAGGCTGGCGGCACAGCAGTTTGATAAGGTTTATTGGGCCCAGATAAAGCAGCAGCGGCTCCCCCACCAAAACTGGCACCATTTATAGCCAGAGCTGTGTCCTTGGGTCCTGATGAGAATCCCCAGTTCAGAGATTTCATATGGCAACACCTAAAAACAAGCAGGATGGAAAATTACAAGGAGAAATAGTCTCTCTCTTTCTCTCTCTCTCTGTCACTCAAGGAAAAATATTCTGTCTCTCTCTCTCTCTCTCTCTGTCTGTCTCTCTCTTTCTCTCTCTTCCCCCCTCTCTTTTTTTTCTTGAAGGATGTGGATACAGTAAGGGAAACTGGAACACATCACCGCTCCTAAAAATAAAATCTCAGTTTTAGGAGAGGTCACGCTGGAGACAGGACTCCGTGAGCTGACCCTTGGATGGAATGCCATTGCTAAATCAGCCTTCTTCCCTCAGCTCCCCATTTATGAAGGGCAGGCATTCGGAGCTCACTTAGTGTATATCAGGTCCAAGGGACCATTCAGGAAGGAGACAGTGGGGCTAATAACTCTTTGTGAGCACTACCCACCAATCTCAACACATAGCCTACGCTTTATTTGATCCTCATAACAGTCCTGTTAATTCAGGTGCTATCGTTTTCCCCATTTCTACACATAAGAAATCTGAGGCTCAGAGAGGTCAAGTGCCTTGCCCAAGACTGTAGAATCTATTAAACATCAGAGCTGTTTCTTCAAATCAGACCACTCTGACTGCACAGCTCAAGCTCATTACCAGAGTATAAAGCTTCTACTGAGATACATCCAGGAAACAAGGCTTTGATTTTCCTTCTTCTTACTCTGCTGAGGCCAGGTCTATGCAGCAGCCCAGGAAGCTGAGGACCAAATGGCTCTTGGTTTACCCACCAGCTAAGGAGATGACCCAGGATCTCCACATTTTCCTTGCTTCCACAGAGTCTCAGGCAGAAGTTGGAGAGGGCGTTCTGAGTTATAATAAAACATCAACTCAGCAGATATTCAGGAAAAAGGTAATAGATGTTCTGAGTATTAGTGAATGGCAAGTTGTAACTCTTTCATCTCATTTGGAAGATATTTTTAAGACTTTTTATTTTAAAAGGAAACATTCCTATAGCTATAGATAAATCATATATCCCTGTCTTCTGGACAGCTACTTCACATTTTCCCAAAACCTTGTAAAGAGCGGGAAATGAAGCATGCTCAAGGAGAGAGGCAGGAAGCCCCTGAGAGGAAAGAAGTGCTCTCCTCTGCCACTGAGATCTCCGAGTGACTTTGGGACTGGTGAAATCCCAAAAGTCCTCCAGTGGGGCCTCTCAGGGAGATACAACAAGCCTATTGTATCCTTTTCTGGAGGCAGACTTTCCTATAATCTTGCAGTCTTTCACATAAGCATTCTAGATACCTAAATCAATGAAAGTGCTATCAAAAATTAGGCAGAGGTGGGCATGGATATGTTGACACTTTTCTTTCTTTCTTTCCTTCTTTCTTTTGCTTTTGTTTTTTAAAAAATTTAATTCTTAGGCCAGGCATGGTGGCACACGCCTGTAATCCCAGCACTTGGGAGGCTGAGGCAGGAGGATCATTGCAAGTTTGAGACCAGCCTGGGCCACATAGTGAGCTCAAGGCCAGCCTGAACTGCGTAGTGAGACCTTGTCTCAAAAAGACAAAAAAAAAAAAAAAAGATTAAAAAAAGTTTAATTGTTTGATGTCACTTCATAGGTGCCTCCTCCAAACAACAGGAGGGAGAATGTCAGGTGATGCGCGTGTTCTGGTCATGGCCAAGGAAACCGAAGCAGAAGATGGTTTTACATAAGCAGTTTGCATCCTCTCTTTCCTCCTCGGGAGAAAGACTCGGTCAGTGGTGTGTCCACAGCTGCGCTTCCCTTCCAGGTACCCCGTTTGCCCTTCTTCTCATTTAAGACAGAGCGACTTCTCCATGGGAGCAGGAGGGATCCCTTGTGTAGCCCTGGAGGTCTTGGTCACTGTGACCCTAAGATTTTGTGATCGAGAATGAGAAAGCTGTCTCTTGCCTCTCTTCCCAGCATATTGCAAATGGTATTGGGACCTAATGTTGTCAACTCAAATAGCAAATCTGAGTAGTTATTAGTGCAAAGATGCCCTGAGGGGGCCAGCAGTGTGGATGAGATCGGCGACGGATGTTATGGGGAAGTGTGTTTATAATTATAATGGGATTTAATGTACAGTGGGACCAGATGATGGCAGCCATTTAAAAAAGAGATGCTTAATAAGAGAGGTCCCTTAATGACAGGCAGCAGGGCTCAGGTTATTATGGAAAAGCGCAGCGTTTCTCTGGGTGTCACCAACCATGTGCCAGGTTTTATGGTGTTCCTCACAAAGCTTTGGGGTGAGCCATAGCAACCACTGCTGTCAGCTATCGGGCATAATGTTTTAGTGCTGCTGTCTTTGAAAGGGGCATCTGCAGTTAGAGAAAAAGCATTCTCTCCCTTTCACATTCACATACGCACACAGGCCCCAGGCCAAGAGTGAATAGTTTTTGGTGTTTCTGGAAATCTGCTTTGTTCTCAGAAAGACAGCCTCAATTTCAAAACTAAAATTTTGTAGCTGTCAAGGGGTACATTTTCCATATCGAGTGCATGAAATGAAGCGGCGTGGGTCCAATTTTAGGGGAGAGGAGTCCCCCAGCTAAATCCCCAGGCACCATGCTGAAAATAAACCCCAAGTCTTCATGGGGAAACAGGGGCTTTAAAAAAAAAAAAAAAAAAAAAAGCACTGGTGTTTTTTTTGTTGGGGGGCCAGAAGGAGGGCAAAACATTTGTTGCATTTTCTTATGGTGTTTAACTTTTGAGTTGTTTGATGTGATGGATCTCAG